GTTTGCCTGTCATATTTGTCGTATATCTGTCTTTTTTGTTTCTCTATTCTTCGGGTCATTCATATGACTCGAAAGAGGTATTTATTTGGAGAAGGAAAGTATACATTGATCAACAGGTTCACGACTGCTTCAACAATAAAAATGAGAAAAGGAATCAGTAACAAGAAACTTTATAAGGTTGCACATAATTTTAGAAGTATGCTTAAAGAAACAAGCTTTGAGAGAACTCTATAATATTCTGAAAAGTTCTAGAAGCATGTACATGTAAAGAACAATGTAGAACTATCTTTAAGATAGTATATTCTAATGTAATCTAGAAAGTTCCATTAAGCTTGGGGAAGACCGTAAGTCTCTCTCCCTCATTTGTATCCATCCAAGAACCATTCAAGGTTCTTAAGCATTTAGGTATTGTAATCATTCTTTCTTAGTGAAATGTTTCTTTCTCCAATACTTATTCTCATTCTTCTTTCAAGAGTGTTTTGTGATAACAAGTCCAAGCATTGTGAGGATTAGGTTGATTTAGTGTCAAGGAAGAGCGCTAAAGCCCCATGGGTGGCTTGAGATAAGTTAGTCTTATATGATCACCTATTTTTGTAGTTTTCCAAAAGAAAATAAACATTTACATACATGATAATAATAAAAAAAAATGTTTATTTTCTCTATAAATAACGTTGCCTTTGATATAATTATTTTATAAAATGATAGTTATTGGTTTATATATACATGCATTTTATGAGGTGTTTACGATGATGACTTATTATGGTTTTTCGTTAATTTGCTGCTCTATTTGACAAATAAGCTCCATGAGGACATTGTGCCATCATCAAATAATGTTACCAAGTGGGTCGGAACACAGTGGATGACCCCCATTATTGGCGCCTATATTGCAAATGCTCATCTCGGTCGATATTGAACCTTCAAGGTCGCATCGATCAATTTTTTTTTGGCGAGTTTATCATAGTTTGATTTCATTTGATTATGCTATATATATGCTTACTCCTTTAAAAAACATCATTTTCTTTATTATTTTTAATGTTGCTCTTTATGCAATTTAACATTGTTAGATGTTTGATTTTCAAAGACAATTTCGTGAAACCCAAAACCTTCCTAAGAGTGTGATTAAGTAGTTATTTTGTGAAGTAATCTATTATAGTAACTAATTTATACCCAATAAGGCTAGAGTTGAGATTAAATAGTATGAATGAAATTTCAATTAAATTCATTTAAAAGTAAAAACAAAAAATTAAATGGTGTTTAAATGTGTTAAATAAGAGTGAAGCTTTTTCCATAAGTTGTTTTTTAGCCTTTGTCATTTCCTAAAAGTTTCTTCATTCCAACAAGATATACATATATATATATATGTATGTATGTATGTAAATACATAAGCATTGGATATATGTATGTAAATGGCCTTTAATTAAGTTGACATGGGATATATGTATGTAAATGGCCTTTAATTAAGTTGAATAAATTAAAAAAAATTGATTGAAGGTTGACCATGTTTAAAGTGGGCCCGAGATATGATTGGGGGTTGTGAATAATTGAGAAGGATAGGATGAGAGGGTTCTCCTCCGGTTAACATATGCATGCTTCTGCATATGGCATGATATGGTCAACATCGCACGTAGGAATCTAATCCTATCTCATTTGACTTCATAATGAAGTATTGCGTCGTATGTATATAATCCAAATAAAAAGAATTTTCCGTTCAAAATAAAAGGGGAGCCAAACTACATTCCATTCTCGCCCTTCACTGGCTCCCATCCCTCTCCCTCGAGCTCTGCAACCCTAATGGCGTCTGTCGAAGGGACGGAGGCGGCGGCCGATTACACGAAGGACGGCTCCGTCGATCTCCACGGAAACCAGATTCTCCGGTCTGAGCGCGGCGGCTGGAAAGCCTGTGGCTTTGTCGTAGGTAATTCATTAGTTATCCAGTAATCAACTCCCTTCCACCTTCCTTGTGTTTGAAAAGATGTGATTTTTAGAAGTAATATAATTATACTCTTGTTGTGATAGGAAAGAATGACTGTGGAATTCATAAATAATTATGAATGAAAAATTTAGTTTCATGATGTGTTTTACATGGTTATATTATAAAATGATGGTTATTAGTTTATTAATTTTTGCAGTATACGAGGTGTTTGAGAGGATGGCTTTTCATAGCGTTTCATCAAATTTGGTGCGTTATTTGACTAATAAGCTCCATCAAGGTACTGTGGCATCGTCAAATAATGTCACCAATTGGATTGGAACTGTGTGGATAATGCCTATCGTTGGCGCCTATATTGCTGATGCTCATTTCGGTCGGTATTGGACCTTCATCATCGGATCAATCATTTGTTTTTCGGTGAGTTCATTCTAGTTTGATTTTATTTGATTAGGATATATACATATATGATTAATCCTGTATAGATTAATACTTTTCTTAATTATTTTTTCAGTTAATTTAAGCAAATTCACATCGTTAAATGTTAGATTTTTGAAAGACAAAGTAGGGAAGAAAAATCCTAAAAAAAAATTAATGAAGTTATTTTGCAAAGTAATATATTATCAAAAGTAATTTACATGGAATTTGATTAAAGTTAATATTTAATGGTGTGTATAAATTTGTAATTAAATTCATTTAAATTAAAAAAGAAAAATTAAGGAAAAAATATTACATCAGGACTTCGGATGCATTCGGAGTCCAATGGTGGGGCGCCACGTGTCAAGCGAGCGTCACCATCATTAATACTGGCCAATACCAGTGTATTACAGTGGGGCCCATTTGACACATAACGCCCCACCATTCGACTCCTAACTCAAACTGCGTCAAGAGTCCTGATGTAATATTATCTCAAAATTAAGTGATGCTTAATGAACCAAGGATTTACACACATGTAATTCAATTCTTATGTATTTACATTTCTATCAATTAAACTTCAATGTTTACATGGATGTCATCTTATTGATGCATGAAAAGGTGTATTTTTAATTTTTAAAAGTTAAAATAATAGTAATTTTAATGTGATAAGATAATTTTGGGTGATATAAATATAAAAAAAAGTTAGATATTGGTGTTACATATATAAATAATACAACTTGGGTGATGTGTAAATGCTCCTTAATTAAATTAAATGAATTTAAAAAATGGGAGAATCTTGACCTTGTTCCCGTGGGGGAGAGAAAGGAAGCTGATTTGAGGAATAATTAGATTTGTGGTTTGTCGGATAGATTGGAGGAGTAGATCTTCTTTCTTCTTTGACTTTGTAATTAAGTCAAAGGGAGCATATATATATATAAATCACTTTTAACTTTTATGAATTTACATTTTTACAATTTAAATTTTACTTTTTTTTGTATTTATAGTAAAAGTTTTCATATCATATAAAAATGTCACTATTTTTACTTTTTAAAAAATAAAATTTATATTTTCATATGTGTATAAGATTTCATATATATATATATATATATATATGTATGTAGTTTAGGTATTAGACATATAATACATAAGAATTAAGTGATATATATGTAAATTTTGTTTAAATAAAATAAAAGGGCAATTAAATACATACCACCCAATTCCTATGTATTTATGTATATAACATGTATACTTTTATTTTTTTAGGTTCGTATCATTCAATATTACAACAATAATACGACATATTTTAAGGTTTAAAGGATAAAATACACCAGTTTATACATAAAAAATGTCTTATATGTAAAAAGTAAAGTTTAGGTATTAGATACAGAAATGCATAGGAATTTGGCGATATGTATGTAAATGCCCGAAAAAGTTTTGAAGGCATACCAAATTCACTTCAGCCAAAACATACCTTGGCATAGGATATGCAGCCTTCTCTGAGCGTTGTGCATAATAGTTAAATATATGATTATTATTTTATTTATTTTGTATTATATGTTCGACCAAATGCAATTTCTTTTTATCACCTACACCACATTTCCATATCTTGATGCAGCTAATTCCAACCTGCTTCCTTTTCTGCATCACAGGGCATGTGTGTCCTGACCCTCGCAGTCTCCCTCCCATCTCTCAAACCTCCCCCTTGCGGCCTCCGGCACCGCTGACCCCAACTGCACCAACAAAGCCTCCTCCTTACAGCTCGGCGTCTTCTTCTTCGGCCTCTACGTCATCGCTCTCGGCACCGGCGGCACCAAACCAAAGCCCAACATCTCCACCATCGGCGCCGACCAATTCGACGAGTTCCACCCGCGAGAGCGCAGGCATAAAATATCCTTCTTCAACTGGTGGCTCTTCAGCATTTTCTTCGGCACCCTGTTCTCCAACACCGTTATCGTCTACATCCAAGATAATTTTGGGTGGACTTTTGGCTATGGGATCCCCACACTTGGCCTGCTCATTGCCATACTAATTTTTGTTACCGGAACACCATTATATCGCCACAAGCCGGTGACTGGAAGTCCGTTTATGAAAATGACGCAGGTGGTGGTGGCGGCGATGAAAATGTATCGAGTAAGCCTGCCGGAAGATCCCAAGGAGCTATATGAGCTAGGGCTCCATGAGTATGAGCGCAACGGCAAAGTCCCGATTGGTTACACTCCTTCAATGAGGTTGGTCTCCGTCAAAATGTCGTTTTTATTTAAGATCACATTTGATGAAATATTATTTCCATGGATGCAGATTTCTTAGCAAAGCGGCGGTCAAAGCAGGAAAATCCGGCAGCCCATGGTCTCTCTGCTCCGTCACGCAAGTAGAGGAAACCAAGCAAATGGTGAGAATGATCCCCATTCTGATAGCCACCTTCATCCCCAGCACAATGCTCGCCCAAGTGAACACTCTGTTCATCAAACAGGGAACCACCCTCGACCGCCGCATGGGCTCCCATTTTCACATCCCCCCTGCCAGTCTCCTCACCTTCGTCACCCTCGCCATGCTCATCTCCATCGCCCTCTACGACCGCGCATTCGTTCCCTTTGCTCGCCGTTTCACCGGAAACCCCCGCGGCATCTCTCTGCTCCGCCGCATGGGCGCCGGCATGTTATTCCACATGCTCGTCATGCTCGTCGCCTCCCTCACCGAGCGCCACCGCCTCTCCGCCGCCCGATCGCACAGCATCTCTACCAAAGACGCCACTGTTCCTCAAACTGTCTTCATCCTCCTCCCACAGTTCGTGCTCATGGGAATCGCCGACGCCTTCCTTGAGCCGGCCAAGATTGAATTTTTCTATGATCAGGCGCCGGAAGGGATGAAGAGTTTGGGGACTTCTTATGCAATGACGACGCTTGGGGTTGGAAATTTTCTGAGCAGCTTTCTGCTGTCGACGACGGAGAAAGTGACGAGGAGGTTGGACGGCGGGGAGGGGGGTTGGATACTCAATAATCTCAATAAGTCTCATTTGGATTACTACTACGCTTTCTTTACCGTTCTGAATGTTGTCAATCTGTTCTTCTTCCTCTTTGTTAGCCGATTCTATGTTTATAGGGCAGCAGGGCAGAGTTCAGTGCTGAGATTGAGGCTGTTGAAGAATCCAATAAGGAGAAATCCAAGAATATGGATGGTCAGGATGGGTAGATTAGTTCATCTTTGGGAGGTTAAATGGTTTAATTCGGCAACCAAAATGCGTGAAAATAAAAGATCTCTTTGAATGTCGATTTTTATCCTGGATTTTTCTTCTTTTTGTTTTTTGGGTGGTGTTTATATACATACCATACAATTCTTATATATTTACATATCTAACAGCTACACATTCTTGTTAATATGCATAATACTTAAATCTTAATCATTACATCATTAGTATCTCACAACCAAAACAAACTAAGGCAAGCTTCTTTACATAACATGACTAGACAAAGGTGGAATGAACATTTCTTATAACTACCTAGGCGTAATTAGGTAATAAGGTATGTACAACTACTAGAATATTCAACACAACATATATATACCGATCTTTTATTACTCTCGGTTAAGCAATGATAAAGAATTAGCTGCTACTACTCTTTGTCTCTTGCTTTATGGTATCAGAGCAGCTGCCCAATGTAATTTGGGTTTTCTTCAAATTCACAATCAGGAGACTCTGGAAAAGCAGGGATTAGTCGTCAATCTTCATCGCCAACCTTGATCATCAAACCCGGTCTTGTACAGGAGAGTAAGGACTTGCATCTTCCTCCCTCTATTGTCTCTATATCGACCGTCTCTCCTAATCCATCGTTTATCTGATTTTCAATCTTCATTACCCAATCTATCTTCTAACTACATGTACTATCAACTTTCACATTATCTGAAGCTCACAGTTCTCCCTTCATAGAAATAATACCATCTAATGATATAACTCCTACATTGAAATTCTTATTGAATAACCTGAAAATTTTCAATAAAAATCCTCTTACAATTGAGAACTATCATATATGGAAAGCACAAGTACTCAAGGCCTCTTTAAAAAATGGTTTCTTGGGTTTCCTACAAGGAAGCCTCATGACTACTTAAGTCTCTGTCTTCCAGTGAAGATGCCCTAACACCCAATTCAAAATATTTAAGTTGGATATTGATTGATCTAGTTTTTTTCTCAATTATCTCTCCTACAATTTTGTCGTGTATGCTTCTCCTATCCACCACTACTCGAGAACTGACCACAAATCATTCCAATCGCTTTCAAAGCAAGAAACTGGGTGAGATACATAAATTTATAGGTATTGAAGTTTACCAGATGACACACTTAATGTTTCTTAGTCAGCAATCTTACCTTACAAACGTCCTTGAAGAGATGGCTATGACGGGTTGCAAACCGGTCTCTACTCCTCTTCCAAGTAAGAAGCTTGACACACCTGATTGTTGACCTCACTTTTGATTGAGGTCTAGAAAACTTCTTTAGTAGCCTAGGTCTAGCCATAGGACTTTCCTATTGACTAGTCTTAGAAAACTAGAAGAGGTACCCCACTATTAGAAATTCAAAACTCTTTTTTTTATTCAACTTGAAATTCCACATATTGATCTTAACCTCTAGCATTTAGTAGGTAAGATCATTATAAGAGAATTTAAGAAAAATCCCTACAGGATTACTTGGCTTTAGGGTTGACCCGGGGTGTTGACTTGGAACTAAGATACACCACATCTTCACAATACATTAATCCATGGTTCATCTAGAATG